CAGTCCTAACCCCCGGCAGCTCAGAATGTTTGGAGGCAGGGCCTTAAAAGAGGTAATTAAGGTGAAATGAGGCCACTAGGGCGGGCCCTACACCAGTATGTCTGGGGTCCTTATAAGAAGAGATTAGGATACAGACGCACGCGGAGGGAAGGCCGCGTGCACACATGGGGAGAAGACAGCATCCGCCAGCCAAGGACGGAGGTCTCAGGAGAAACCGACCCTGCTGATATCTTGATCCCAGACTTCAGCCTCCAGAACTGTGAGAGAACACATTTGTGTTGCACGAGCCTCCCAGTCTGTGGTGTTTGGCTACGGCTGCTTGGAGACAAGCACACCAGGCCACCGGATCCACCAGAGGGTACTGCTCCGAGACTAGGAAGTCCCTGGGACAGCAGATGCTCCCTGGCCACTGTCCCATGCCCTAAGACCTTGTCTGGTCAGAGGTGCTTGACACTGAGCTTCCATGTTATCCTTCACCCTTGTCAACTCCCCCTCCTCCTGGCCTAAGCACAGATGGACCACCAGTCCCAAGCATCTGTCGCCACCACAGCCACTGTTCACTACACAGGGGCACAATTCTTTCCCTCTTTCCCGTGGTTCTATTTCCCCCATCCCACAGTGAAATAGGCCGCTCTGTGTGGTAGTGAGCACCCTGTCATCATAGGGTTTGAGGAGTTGGACAACAAGGAGCTGTGGGGGCGGTGGGAGGGGAGATGCTGATAAACTGAGCTCCAAGGGAGGTGGAAACAGACTTGGATTCAAATACCAACGCCCCTGCTGACGTCATGGCCCCGGGTGAGATCGCTGGCCTCTGCACACCTCCGTGTCTTCACCCGGGAGATGGGGTCTTACAGCCGCAGCTGAGCTACTGCCGAGGTGGGTTCCGTACATGGGGTCTCCTCCCCCGGCAAGTCCCTTCCCTCTGCGGCCTCAGTGCTTTCCCTATGGCAGGAGAGCACTGGACAGGCTTTGACGGGCATGGGCGCCTCTGCCCGGGAGGGCTGCCTACGGAGAGCCAGAAGTCCGCAAATGGATTTTCCTTCCTTCATCTTGCTGCTGAAATCAACCAGCGACATCCGTAGGGAGTGGAAGAGGACCCATGTCACAATGTTGCACACCTGGACTTGAACTTAGAGCTGGGGGCGGCGGGGGAGGGGGTCTGCAGCCAGCAAGGAAGGAGTTAAAAACATACAGTAATTCCCAAAAGGATGGTTAAATCAGGGTCTCAGGAGGGCTTTCTGGGGGACCAGGAGCTCTGAGCCCAGTGCTGGCTGCCCCTCACTGCCAGGCACACAGTTGCTCAAGAGGATACAGGCCAGAGATGACATCTGCTCCCGACTGCCTGGCTGGGTGCTCCCGCACTCCCCCTGAGTCACCTGGTGGGCTCCAGAGGGACTGGCCTGGCCTCTGCTGCCCTCCCCACCTGCCACCCAGAGGGCCTGAAATAGAAGAGGTAGCAGTGGACCGCTTCCAGAAACAGCCCCACCTCACTGCGGACACACTAGGCCTCCACCTATCTGGAGAGGCTGGCCCCCCACCGGGGGCATTCCTGCCTGAGCGGCCCACACCCTCCCCTGTGGGGTGGGGGCTGGAGGCTCAGCTGTTCCCTGCACTGAAGTCCTGCCAAACACCTGCCGCAGGCGAGCCCGACGGTCTCTGGGGTGCTGTGCTGCGTGCAACACCGCCCTCATCCGACCCCTCCCTCTTCCTGAGGGTCAGGACAGGGGCGACCTTCTCCGTCCAGGGGCGAGAGGTGGGAGTCAGAGGGAGAAGACACTCTCCCAAGCTCAGTGGACACCCAGGTACTGCCACAGAGCCAGATGCCCAGAGCAGGCCCCTGGGGACCGACGCAGGACAGCACCGTGGGCAGCGCGGCAGCTTCACACTCTGGTCTGCCCTTGACTGGCTTGGCAACCTCGGGCGGGATACGTAACCCCTGCGAGCCGCAGCTAACCCATCTGTGCAGAGTAACAGGGCCCACCCCACAGGTGGCTGCGAGCGTCAAATGAAAGGGCGTCTCCCCAGGTCTTGGTGCTGTGGCTGGTGCAAGGCAGACCCCGGCCTGCTCCCTTAGCCGTGTCTGCAGACCCCTGAGATGCCGGCCACGGTCACCACTGACGTGTCAGAGACTCCTGAGGACACACCACAGGCAGCCCCTCCTCAGGTCTTGCTGCCCACCAGGTGGTCAAAATGATTTGTTCACTGAATCCCCATTTTACAGCAGGGCAGACTGAGGCCCCAAGGGATGGCATCTTGTCAATTGATCTGAAGCGGGTAGTTTGGCTCCAGAGGCTGCATTCCTCACCACTGTACTGAACTGTCTCTCATGCGGGTTGATAACGTAGTGAAACGGGTAACAGTACTGCCCCCAGTTTGTAGATGAGGAAACTTAAGACGGCAGGAAGGCTGCATAATGTGACCAAGGCCACACAGCTATCAAGGGGCTACCAGGGCTTTGAACCCAGGCAGCCCAGCTCTAAAACACATGTGCTCCCCCACCACAGCATCGTGGTCACTGCCTTGCCTGGTCCAGGACCTCTGCAGAGAGAAGGCAAAGCTGCCATGGGCACCACGTGACCCCTGAGAACATTATCCCTGCCCCAGGGCCTCTCCTGGGAATGGCCGGGCCGCTCCCTCCCAGGCTCCAGCTTGAGCCATCTCCTGAGCACCCTGGAGTCCTGGGGGCTAGGTGCCCTTACCCCAGCTAGCACATGGGGAAACTGAGTCACCGGGCCTTGCCCACAACTACAGAGACAGATGTAGGACCCCCACTTCCCTCTCTTAACGTTAGTCAAAAGAAAATGCCTTTACCTCTGGCCCAGAATCTAGAGCCTTCCAGAAGGGCCACCAGCCAGGAGCAGGATGAGGATACGGTCACGGTCCCCGCCCCAGAGTGGGTCCCAGCTTGTTCTCGTATCCCTGGGGGAGGCAGGCCAGTGGCAGGCAGAGGGGGCACACGGTGGGAGCAGAGGTGGGCTCTCACCAGGCGCAGCTCCCTGTGCAGGCCCAGCCCCGGTCAGACCAGGCCAGGGAACGGGGCAGAGGGCCAGATTCCAGCCCCTAGACAGGGGCCCCTCTGTCCCTGCAGGCTGAGCTCACCTTTAACTGGCCAAAGGGCCCTTTGGGGAGAGGAGGAGGGCAAGGGGCAGGAGAAGCATTGGGGCCCTCCATTGCCAGTCCCTGTCCCTTTGCCCTGACTCCTGCTGTCCCCGGGCCCCTGCTGCTTTGACCAGCTACTCCCCTTCCTTCCCCCACAGCCGACCAGGTCCCAGGCCCGATCTTCCCACACCTCCTCCTTCTTGCCCTTAATTGCTTTACCTTTTATTTGCCTGGCACTTTATAGCACTTTATAGTTTGCTAAATGTTTTTACATTTATCCTCGCATTGAATCTGCACCAGGGAGAGACGGGGAGACAGTAAAAATTCCTTCAAATTGCCAAGTGTTCTTGTTAAAAATGCAAACATCCCCAGCACAACGGCCAATTAGCCTGGCAGCCGTGGTGCCTCAGAACGTCCCACCCTCTGCTTTCTCCCCAGCCACTCGCTGTGTGGGGACAGGGTGTGGGAGAAGGGAGTACTCTGGGGGAGCAGCCTCGGCAGGTGGGGAAGGCCCGGTGGGGGGTCTCAGGCAATCTGAGAGTGGTGGGCCCCGGGAGGGGGAGAAGCACCCCGGAAGGGACGGTATAAGGACAAACCACGAGCCTCCCGATGCCGCACACAAAGGATGTGCTCATGGCAAGCCCTAAATTCCAGCCCAGCCACCTCCCTCCTCCCAGCTCTCTCTGAAGTCTCTGGCTCATTCTGGAGTCTGCATGGTCAGAGGGAGAATCTTTTATTCAAGCAAAGGCCTAAAGACTTCCAGAGTGGAGTCATCAAACCCCAGCCTTGGAGAGGGGAGAGGGAGACAGGTGGTCCAGGGGAAAAGGGGTGAGTGAGGGCCACAGGCCGGCTCTCCCTAAAGCAGCCCTGCCTGTGGCCCAGGGCCCCAGGACAGCGCAGCCCACCCTGGACTGGCTTCGAGTGGGAGAGGACACTGAGAGGCTGGGCGATGGCACCCTCAAAAGGGTACATTGTGGGCCGTGGGGGTGAATCGGGAGGTGGGGGTGGTCTCCATTACCCCAACTACAAATATGGGGAATGGGCCAGACCATTCCGAGGGTCCTCCCAGAGCCAACATTCTGTGGTCCTATGACCAATCAGAAAAATAAGCCAGTGGCCAAACCCAAGAAAGGGCATCTCAGGAGTTTGTAGGCCAGGCGTGCTCACTTCCGGAGTGGCCCCACCCCACGTCCCCTCACACACATTTGGAGGGACCACAGAAATAACTGGAAGTCACACACAGCGCTCACGCAGCGACCTGAGCTGCGGTTGCCCATTTGACATAATGTTAGGTTTCGTAGCTAAATTAAACATGTATTAATTTCAACTCTGCAGCTTTCTTTTCAAATTTCAGGGCCTATCGGTTTGTTTCCAGCTCAAAACATTTTCGTTGGCTGTTGATGAAAGCTCATAGGCCCCAGATCCTGCATCTACGTTCCCGGCACTCTGACCCCGGAGAACTCGGGCAGCGACCCTGAAGAAACCCAGCAGTGGGTTTAATAGAAATGCTGTGTCTGCAGCACAGGGGCTATCTCAAGCTTCACTCAAGGCCGCCTTCTCCAAGGAGCCCTCCCAGACCACTCCAGCTCTCCAGCATCCACCCCCTGCCAGCCTCAGAGCACGCGCATCCAGGATGCTTATTTGGCAGCAACAGTACACTCGCATGACATCCCCATGGGACCGTTTTGCGGCATCCTTTGGCTCTGTCCTTATCACTATTGAACACTTTCATATATTTGCCTTATCTGCCCCCACTGGACTGTGAGCTCTCAGAGGTGCCTCGGACCCCTCCTCTGCCTCCTCTCTGAACCCAAGTCTTTTGACAGCAGGCCATGAGAACCGAGGCCAGGTGAGCAAGACCCATGTGGTGTGCAGAGAGGCTGGAAGCCACTGGGTCCCACCTACCCTCCATGCCGTCCTCTCGATGCCCACTGAAGTTGTCGTAGGAGTCCCAGCGGATGAGGGGGTCGGAGGTGTTGTAGTCCACGGACACGCTGGGCCCGTTCTCCAAGTGCTCCATGCCTGAGTGGGGTGGGGAAGGGGGGGCCAGGCGGGGGGACAGTGAGGGGAGGAAAAAGAGATCAGCAGCTGCAAAAACAGAGACAGCCAGCAAGCTCCCCCAGGACCTCCCCGAGGGACGTCTCATGTTCTTGAGCACGGCGGGGCGGGCCCAGTGGCTTCAGCTGGATGGAGAACCGAGGAGTCTGGTTTCTTGCATTCTTGAAAAGGCTCGTGCCAGGTCGTAGGGGTAAATCAGGACAGGGCACCATACCCAAGACAGGGAATGAAGACCCCCTAGCAGAAAGCGGGGAGGACCCCCTGGCTGGGTGTCTGCCTTTTCCTCTTCTGTGTCCCTGGGGCCCCTGGGGCAGTGCCAAGAAGCCATAGGGTCTGCCCTGCGGTCAGGGGAGGGGAGTGTGGGACAAGCATGTAATGGGCTGCATGGGGTCAGGGGCAGTGAGGAAATCACAGCCTTGACAGTGAGAAGACACAGAGCCTCTAAAAGGTCATCCCAGGGATGCCCCTGCCCCTCTCTGAAAATGCCCTCCACTCCAGACAGAAAGCTGAGGGCAGAGGCAGTGTCTCTTACCCACCCATGGAAAGCCCAGCTCAGAGATAGCACAGCTGCAAGTCAGGCCTTTCAAGTTACCTTCCTGGCCTGGCAGTCCTTTCTTTAGTCTATCCACAGTCCCTCTGCCTTTAACCTAACTTCTTCTCCTCCCATTTTGTTCTCAAATAAGATGGAGAACAACTGGTCTCCACATATAACTAGTCTAGAGGCTTAAAGGCTATTATTAAATTGGCCTTCAGGTTGAAGCACCTCAGTTCTCAGAAATACTCATCATCTATCCAGCACCTTTGAGTGTCCCCCCTGGCCACTCCCTCCATCTGCCAGGGCCCTCAGTCTCTGAATATAACGGGCTGATGACCTAGTAAGACCAGAACAGTTTATCCAACCCAGCGCCTGTCTGTCTGCTTTTTTATTTTTATTATCCAGAGATTAAGTCACTGGTTCATGTTTAGCTAGGGGTCCACTCTGAAACCCAGATCCTTTACTGATGGCCTGCCTCTCAATCACAGGTAGCTTGATAATTGTAGAGCAGACCAGTGGAAAGATAATGGGGATAGGGTGGGCACAGGTCAGGATGGAGGGAAGGGGTGACAAATGGATTCCAACTTGGCTCATACCATGAATTTTCTCTGGCCCGTAAGAAAATACAAACTCCACTTTGCCATATTCTGGAAATCGATCATCTGAAAAAAGAGAAGGAAAAATAAAAACGGGCAATGAATTCCCAAAAAGGACTCCATAAAAAGTTTTCTTCTAGAAAAAAATTAAGTAATATATGTGTACATGGTTAATAATATAACAACTAATGCATATATAATTATACATATATACATGAAATTATATATGTACACTGAATAAATCTCCTCCCCACCCAACCCCCAGCCTTCCTGCCTGAGGTAAGCACATCTAACCATCTCTATTTTTTATTCTACTAGCAATTTACCTCTAAGACTCTCAATAATAGCCACTATTTTATGCTACTATTTCTATATATCAATTTTAAATAATCTTCATTGATTCACCACTATGAAGATGAATAATTTGGTTCACTTATACTACCCCCACTTCCTGCCTTCTTAAATCTGGTTAGATTATTATTTTTATTTATTCTACTGATTACCTTTGAGACTTTAAGTACTATAGTTAAGCCTCTATTTCTTGATCTGTACATTTTCAATGGTGTGTCCTGACTCCCACCGTTTAAGAGGAGGAAATGAGTAACCCTCCCTTTCCTCTACCTCTCCCAACCCCATGTTTATTCTGTAGCTATATCTTTATTTTGCCTTGTTAAGATTGATAACATTTACATTCTGTGCTATAATTATAACAGCATCTTCGGAAGCCCTCCTGGCTCCAGTGCAAGGAAAGCTCAACACGGAAACATTCTTCTTTTACACGAGCCAGACTACACTGAGGAGACCCAGCCTCTCCTCCAAGCTGCAGCCCCACTCCATCCTCTCTGCCTGAGCCCACTCTGGACATAGATCACTGTCCACTGCCTGTAGGAAGAGAAGTAATAGCAAGGATGGCATCTGCCCTGTGAGACACCCATCATGCCTGCGCATGTCTCCATCACTGAGAGCGTCACATCATAGTATCATGTTTGTGTGTCTCTTGCCCATGAGCTCCCTGAGGGTAAGACCTGACTTTTTCTCATGCCTGACACATAGGCACACAAGTGATGCCTGGTGGGTGGATGGATGTATGGATGGATGAATAGATGGGTGGGTGGGTGGATAGATGGATGAATAGGTGGGTGGATAGGTAGATGGGTGAATGTATAGATGGGTGGATGGATAGATGGGTGGATGGATGGATGGATGGATGGATGGATGGATTGGTGGATGAATGGGTGGGTGGATGGATAGATGGATGAATAGGTGGGTGGATAGGTAGATGGGTGAATGTATAGATGGGTGGATGGATAGATGGGTGGATGGATGAACGAATGTGTGGATGGATGAGTAGATGGATGAATATGTGGATGGGTATATGTACAGGTAGGTGGGTGGATGGATGGACAGAATGATGGATGGATGGATGAATAGACATGTATTTGTATATGTCCCATTCCTGAATGTGAAATATATAAAAACCTCCAATGGATAGAAGAAAGAAGCAAATGAAGACCCCAAACCTTTCCTGACCACATCTCCTTGTCTCGGGATAGGTTCTTCCCTCACTGCTGCCACCACCCTTGACTCCTGCTCCTCTACCCTGTGGGGTAATTTTTCCCTGCCATGTCTGCCCCCCAATTTGACAAGATTTTTCAGCTTCAGCAAGGCAAAGATCATGTCATGTTTTACTTTGAATCCCCAGCACTTGGTACAGAGCCTAGCACAAAGTGGATGCCCAATGAATGTTGGAAATGTGATTGTCAGCAGGACTCATGTGACAAATTGGGAGGACAAGATGAAGGAGATAGAGGGAAAGTAGTAGGAGGTTGCAAGATATAAAACAGGGGATATAAAGCCCAGGGACTGGGAGGAACTTACCTCCACCTCTACTGACAACTTGAATTCTTGGCCCATTCCAATCCCAACTCTCTCCCAATTCTCTCCCACTGTCACTAAGGGTACCCTGAGACTTGGTAGAGCATGTGGCTCAGAAAAGATGGTCCCCATGTCCACCACATCCCCTCAAAGCTCCTCTCCCCAGCACGGGATCACCCACCCCCAGCCCCACCCAAGGAGTCCACCTTTGAAGGCATCATCGAGGTCTTCCTTGCCAAAGACAACCCCCAAGTCATGGATGGCACAGGTGTGGAACTGCACACGGAAGATGACGTCGCGGGCTGGGCTCCGGAACTTCTTGTGGTAGCACTTCAGCTGGGTGGGACAGGGGCAAAGCCAGTCAGGGGCATGAGGATGGGAAATCAGCTCCCAGGGAGCCTCCTTTTCAGATCCGCTGACAGAACCCCCAAGGCTCGCTCCAAACCCAGGGAGGGAGAGGTCACCAACACCAAACAGGATCTCAGAGCTCTGTGGGGAAGCTTCTAGAAGAGCAGAAAGTGGGAGGCCAGTCTTGACCTTTGGGGACAAAACTACCCTTCTAAGAAGTTTCTGTATAAAAGTCAGAACGGAAAAAGTAAGAGTGGATTTAAACTGCAGCAGGAAGGACTAAAGTTAGAATTGAGGGAGTCCTTGTCACCAACCAGAAGCCAGAAGGTAACAGCTCACACTAAGTTATATTTTTCTGGAGATGGTCCAGGACAAAAGATAAACCCAGGGGAGGAGACAAGGACTGTCCTGGGCTGGACGGTCTTGCAGGAGCCCTGAGAGCCCAGGATTCTAAGTCTGGCAGCCCCCAGAAGGAGTAGCTGTCTCATCCCGAAAGGCAGGAGGGGAGCAGGGAGAGAAAAGAAGGAAGCAAAAACAAAAGAGGGTCAGGCTTCAGACGAGGGTGGCACTCACCAAGATGTCCCCCTTCAAGAGCAGTCCTGGCTCGATGGTGATGCAGACGCTGGTCTGGCTGTCCCCTGGGATGTTGCTGAGGGGGAGAGATGGACAGAGAAAGAGGGCGCTGGAGGAGGATGTTTTCTCCTAGCTGCCCCTCTGCCACAGGGCTACTGGGAACCCTCGCTGACTTTGTCCCTTAAGCCTTCATGAGAAGAAGAGGTTCTGGGCAGCCTCTCCAAGCCCTCTCTGGTCCTGAGCCTTGGGCCTTGGGCATCCCTGGCCTCTCGTCCCCATAGAATACTCACTAGATGCCAGACGTGTAAACAGGCTGCATGGCCTGGTAGATGCGCAGAAACGGCCGACACCCTGTAAGGGAGATGGGTGTTAGCTAAGATAGCAGAAACCCTGGGAGGGGGAAAGGGCAGAGGAGAGAGTGAAGGAAGAAAGAGAGAAAGGAAGGAAGCAATGGGGAAGAGAGGTAGGAAAGAGAAAAGAGGAAAGAGAAATAGAGGAAGCAGAAAGGGGAAGAAATACTAAGGTTTCACTTGTAAGGCGGTTTAAGTTTATAAAAATAGCGCCACATCCACCATCACTGGCCAGCAGGCATTGCGAGTATCAAATCCATTTAGTAAATGAATAGACTGCGGCTCAGAAAAGTTCAGGAAGTGATACAGTTAAGATTTCAACCCAAGACTTAGGACTACAGCTCTGGTGTTTTGTTTTGTTTTGTTTTGTTTTGTTTTGTTTTTGTAACCACCCAAGGCTGCCTCTTAAGGGAAGGCAATGGAAGACGAGAGAGGGCGGCCAGAGGCTTGGGGCAGGTACCTCCTTTAGACTCAAAGTTGGGGATGCCATGCATGATCACGTGGTGCAGAAACAAGGGCTTGTTGTTCATTTTGATGGAGCCGGAGAGCAGGCCGCTGAAGTAATGCACGTACCTGCGGCAGGGAGAGGAGCAGCTTCAGGAGGCAGGCCTGTGCTGGTGCAGCCAGCCACCCCTGTCCCCTCTTCTCCGGAGACATTGCCCTGGGCTGCCCGCCTGCTCCCCCCACAACAACATGCCCCACCCCCAGGCCTCCAGGCAGCTGAGGTCTCCGCCCCAGTACGGGCTTCCCTCACTGCTCAGAGCCCCAGGTAGGAGGAGCAAGCAGGTACCACCAGACCAGGAGCTGGATCAAGCAGAACATCTCACTCGGTGTTCTCCAGCGCCTCCTGGTGTTCAACATGAGCATGTCTTTCCTGCTTCACTCCCTGCCCAAGAATGGACTGAAATTCCTCCCTGATATCCCGGACAGGCATCATTTAGCTGCCCACTACTGCACGTGGCAGGCCCAACCATCACACAGCTCGGACACCCTCACACCCCCACATCGAGCCCAGCAAGCTTACACTTACACTCACAGCCCCAGCTGTGCCCACAGCCCCACCAGGCCCAAGACAGTCCAGCAAACAGTGAGCAAGACCTTAGTAACGACAGTTCTTTACTTTCTTTATACCAAGCACGAAGTCCCCCAGTATCAATTATCTCATTGATATTTGAGATAACTGGCTTCCAATCAGCATTCCTGTCTCTAGGGTCACCAGCCCCCACTTCTTTAACAGAGATCTGTTGGAAGACTGGAAGGATTGACCCAGCTCCTCTCCTTCTAGACAGAGAGGGACAATAAGGTCCAGAAATGGTCACTGGGGTCCCAAAGACACAGCAAACACACACAGCTGGGAGTGGGGGACAGAGAAGGAAAGAAGTCTGGGCTCCCACACATCTGCCTAAACCAGACGTCAGTCTTTCTGCGGTTGATTGGTTGGCACTTCCTCCTTTTCTGACTGGCCAGAGCGCACGGAGCCAGACCAATCAGAATGCAGCCAGAGGCTCTGCAGGAGCGGGCGGGACCGGAACCCCCACGAGCATGACAACGCTACCCTCCTGTCTCTTGGCCCCTTGGTCCACCTCCAGGCCTGTGGGCCCCCATCCCTGAGCCTGGGTGGGGCCACCTTGGACTACCCGAGCAAGATAATCTGATGGGCAGCTCCAGGTCCTATTCAGGCCCCTGCCCAGCCCCCAGCCCCATTACTCAAACCGGAAATCTGGAATGGCAGGTTCCTATCAGATCCCCTGATCGCGCCAACAGGATGTGTCTGTGTGCTGGGGACAATGAGTCCAGGGGCGGGTGACAATGAATGGGGGAGCTGCAGGCAAAGCCCCTCCCTCTCTCTCTCCCCGCCCTCCTCTCCTCCAACTGCTCCGCTCCCTGCAAGTGACTCTGACAAGAAGGCGGGAAAGTGGCAACGAATGCCTAGTAAACCCAACGCTGCACTTTCACATTTGGGCACAGAGAGTGACCCACCCACAAGCAGATGCAGCAGTAGACATGAGCTGGCGGCGGACCCAGATAATGTGCCCACACACAGAGGCACACCCCGACTGCATGCAACGTAAGCACATGTTGAACACCGCGGAATCCCCGAGAGGGAATACTGACCCCCCAGTCTCTAGGCCTTCACTGCTCAACTTCAGAGATGTGACTGCTCTGCTCCCTCTCTCCAAGCCACACTGTGCCATCATAACAACATGTTTCCCTATAGGTAACCCTGTCCCTGAAGCGCTACACCATGGCCAAGACCAGAGCCATACATTGTGAGTCAGCGACTAAGGTGTCAGTGCTTAACCAACAGTTCTTTCCTCCCTGGGAAGACTCTCATTGATCCTCAGCTGCTGTGTCTGGGGGCCTGGCCAGAATTTTCTGCACATAAAGACATCCCGTTTCTGAGCACTGACCCAGAGGCTGGCTGTCAGCTGCTGTGTGCCCACTGTAAAGTGCTGGGGTTGCCTGAGGACTCACTCATGGCTGCTTGCGCCTCCCACTGCAATGGCAGCAACAGCCTCGCTGTGCCAGCACACGTCTAGGCAGCCAGGCAAGGCGGGGCTGATGGGCTGTGTATTGGCCCCTCAGTGCGGTGGGGCCGGACAGCTCTAGGATCTGCAGCTGTGGGGTCCCGTTGGCCCAGTCAGTGTCCCAGGACCCAGGAAAGCAAATGGGATGCTGTGGCCTCCAGGTCTTTGTATCTGGTGCTGTTCGCTCCTCCTGGATCCTCACCCCAGACCTGCCCTTGCTGCCTTCTTCTCCCCACTCAGATGCCACCTCACGTGCCACCGTCCCAGAAGGCCCGTGGATCAGAATCGGCCCCTCTTGCCCACCCCGTCACTCTCTAGCTATCCAGACCTGTTTTGTCTTCACAGCACTTGTCACCACCTGAAACGACCTTGATTGTTCATGTCCTTGGACATCATCCACTATAAGCCGAGCTCCACGAGCCCTTGCCTGGCAGACTCAGCACCACATCCCCAGTGCGCAGAATGACGTTGACACATCACGGCAGGCAGCAGGCCCACACTTCCGGCCACAAAAGGGGCCGAGCCTGGGTCCCACTCCCCAGGCTTCCAGTTTGAGTTTGGGTTTCCCACCATTTTGGCTGGAGCCTCATCAAAGACCACATGGCCCTGAAACTGCCCTGTGCCCTCCTGTGGATTAGACATCACTGAACAGCGTGCTGCCCACAGAGCGGAATCCCACAGACAGCGGGCGGCACATCCCGGGGGCACTGCCCTGGCCCGTGTGTTACTCAGCCTTCATGTACACTCCAGATCTGTAGCTACTCCGTACAGACCCTGGCCATGTCCCCTCCCTAGGCTCACGTTTCTCATTTGTAAAAGGGGGTGCCCTCGATCGTCACATGGCACCTCATTATTCCAGTTTGGGCTCAGTTTGCCTCTGAGAGGTACTCCCTGGCCATCTCCATTAAAATGGCCCCATCCCCCCACCAGCCCTCGTCTCTGCGGTACCCCATTCTTTCTTTCGCAGCACTAGTCGCTATCTGACATTGTCTTGTTTGTGTGGTTACTTGTTTAGTGTCCATCTCTCTCAACAGACTGTCAGCTCACTACTCAGAAGGACTTTGTCCTGTTCGCTTAGACTCTCAGCGCTGGCAGCTATAGTAGAATACCTACATTTTGCTGAATGAATGAATGAATGCATCCTTGCCCTGCTTCCTGCCTGGGTTATTGTGAGACTCCAGTGAGACCACATGGTAGAAAGCCCTTGACAAAAATTTTAAAACTCTCCCAACTGAAGGTAGCCCTTATCGTCTCTGTGTCCTCCCCAGGGCAGGTAGAAGCGACGTCAGCTTCCTGTAGACTTATCCAAGAACTGCCACCAGGCCAAGAATAGTATGTGCACCTTCTTAGCCTAGACCCATGCTTCCCCACGATGGCCCCGCTGCTCTCCAGCACGTGCCAACCTGCTCTCCTGTGCCCCTGAGCTCACACCACCCCAGGCTGGTATCTGATTATACGTGACTGGTACACTCCCACCTAGGCACGGCTGTCCTATCCTCCGTGGGTACACAAATCTAGCCCCTGTGTGTAGCGTGCACACGTGTATGCACTGGGCCATGAGCCCCAGAGACCCACCTTCTTTGGGATGGCTGGCCAATAGGCACAATCTTATCCTCGTAGAATCGCTTCATTGCAAACCGGTCCAGAGCCTGGTCCGCACTGTGGGGAGACAGGTGGTCAGAGGAGCCAACTCCCACATCCAAGGGCCCCTTGTCCTCCTGCGTCTGCTCGCCAAGACCTGCAGAGCCCTCCAGCCAGCCCTTGTCCTGGTGGGAGGACAAGCCTCTTCCCCCAGCCATCCTGTGCTAAGAAGCTTCAGGAAAAGCGTGCTCCAGCATCTCTCTATCCTGGGTGGTACAGCACTGGGGTGGAGGGGGGCTTTGGAGCCAGACAGCCTGGGAGCCACACCAAGGCTGCCACTTAATAGCCCTGTGCCTGGGACATGTTCCTTAATCTTTCAGAGCCTCATTTCCTCACCTGTCAAATGAGGGTGACAACTGCACCTTCCTCAGAGGTTATGACAGAGATTAAGTGAGGTAGCACCCGCAAAGAGCCCGGCACCCGCAGGCACACAGTGGAGCACAGGAAGTGTTCACCATTAAGCAAAGATGAGGCTGAGTGCTTGCTCAAAGTCCTAAAACTACCGTCCTACTGGCAAGCCCTCCACAGAATATTCTAGGCATCCTCACAGAGCGCACAGAGATGATTTTGAAATACAAAGACAGATCACGCAGCTCCTCCACTCTTGATCCTCCAGCGACTTCCCAGGCTCTTAGAGCAAACTCCAAAGCCCTCAACAAGGCCCACGAGGCCCCACGGCCCTGCCGCCTGCCAGCTGCCCGCTCCTCCTCTCCCCTCACCGGCTCGGCTCCACACCCCGCCAGCTCCTCGCATCGACCTGACCTTCCGCTTCTCTCAGCCCACCGGGCTCAACCCCCAGGTCTCACATGGCCCCGCCCTTCCCACCTCGGGAGTCTGGTCTCTGCTCCAGTCCCGCCTGGCCAAGGGGCCTCCAACCACGCACCCCCCTTGCCACTGCCTTTCTCTAGTCCCTTCATCTTGTCACAGTAATTATCACCTGCTGCCACTGATGTGGCCATTCACTTATCTAACGTCCACAAGGGCAGAGCCTGGCCTTGCCCTCCGCTGTGTCCCAGCACCTAGAGCAGTGCCTGGTAGTGTCTGTGCAGTAATCACTGCCAAGCCAATAAACAAAGGAACGAATGAATCCCTCTGCCTCCCTGCAGAACAGGGTCAGAATGGGATTCACGCACCGGTGGTTCCTTATTCTTGCTCCAAATACCTATGTGGGAAGAGGGCTCTGCTGGCCCGAGGCAGGGAGACGGATGAGATAACTTCGAGATGGTTCCACCCACCCAGATCTGATCCAATGTTTCTTTCTGACTCCTTCCCTGCTCTCCCAGGGATTTGCCAAATAGAAGGAAGTTTGGCAAGGAAAAGTGGCCCCAAGAAGCTGGCTGCATGGGGTACCCATGACAGGGTCTGTCTGCCGAGTGCCCCACCAGGGCCCCAGATAGAGGCTCTCCTCTCTCCTGCCCTCTGTGCACAGGGTCCTGCCTTGAATTTGTGGACAGGCACCTTTCCTCTTCTGAGGGCTCCTGCACCCGTCCTCATCACCTCTCATCTCCTCTGTCCTTATCTCCCCATCCCAGCGAAGGGAGAGAAGTGGGGGAGGGTCACACTGTTCAGAATAGGGGAGGCTCGGGCCCCTCTTACCTGGCAGAAATGTTGCTGTAGTGCATGTAAGCCGCAATGACTACTCCTATCCTGCCTCGGTTTCCCTGAAAGAGCCCCAAAACACAAGAGCCTTCACTGCTAAGGCCAGCTCTGCTGTCCCAGAGCCCACCCAGCAGCCTTGGAGGAAAGGGGACAGGGGCTGGAGACAGGGCTGTGGCTTTAAGGGAGGACAGAAGGAGGAAGAGGGAGGTAGGGGTTGAGTGTCATCCATAGCTGGGGACACAAGCTGGTCCCCGCCCCTCACATCTTGGGGATCCCTCAGGGATAGAATCTGCTAGCCCCTGGAAGGGAGAATGCACACAGATAGACTTGCATGCTGACACAATCCAAAGACACAGGCAGGTATACACACTCATCTAAGGATACACCCAGGCATGTGCACCGCATGCACACACACACACACACGCACACACCCCCCACAGCCCCCTGCTCTGACCTTATTGTGCAGAACGACGACGTTGTGGGGGTCTGCATTGAGCCACGTGTCCATGGCCTTGCAAATGCTGCAGATCTTCTCCAGGGCGGGGGTGTGCAGGTCGGGCCAGCCAAACTCCAGTACCTGGGCCCAAGCCGTGAGTGAGAAGAGGGCAGAAGCCCTGGAGAGCCCACCAAGCCAGCGGGAGCAGCGCACACCACCTGCTGGTGCCTGGGCAGGTAGCGGCCGCCAGCCACTGGTTCCTGCTAGGCCTGGGGACCTCCCTGCCCGTCAGCTGGGAGGCAGGCCCTTAGAGGGCAAAGGCCACTGGCTCAGGCCTGGAGACCCTGGGGGGTCTCAGCAAGTCATGTCCCCTCTCCCAGCCTCAGTTTCCTCACGTATGTATAAAACAGAGGCCTGGAGCTGATGATTCCATCGTCCCTAGCACATAACTCTGATCTCAAAACGTGCTGAGGACCAGGTACGGTGGCTCACTCCTGTAATCCTAGCACTCTGGGAGGCTGAGGTGGGAGGATCACTTGAAGTCAGGAGTTTGAGACCAGCCTGAGGAAGAGGGAGACCCCATCTCTACTAAAATAGAAAAAATCAGCCGGGCATGGTGGCGCTCGCCTGTAGTCCCAGCTACTGGGGAGGCTGAGGCAGAAGGATCGTTTGAGCCCAGGAGTTTGAGGTTGCCGTGAGCTAGGCTGACGCCACTGCACTCAAGCCTGGGTGACAGAGCGAGATCCTGTCTCAAACAAACAAACAAACGTACTGAGGGCCCCAAGCACCGGCCTCAAGCTCCCCTCCCACAGACAGGCCCGAGGCCCAGCTCAGGGCAAGAGAGGGAGACGCAGGGGAGTCTCGGCGTCCATGGCCCTTTTCCAGGCCTGATGTGCAAACCGTCCATCGCTCAGGCCAGCGAGCACAGTCTGAGGGGCACAGAGGGCAGATCTGAATAGTGGTCTTCAGGCTCCTCAAAACCTTTCTAAACTCACAGAACTTTAAAATAAAAGAGAACTTCTTGGAAAAGCCCACAGAGCACACCTAATCCAGCCGGTTCACCTTCAGGGCACAAACTGAGGCCCAGAGAAGTCTGTCGCCTGACCAGGGTCACACAGCGACAGACGCCAGAATCCAGGGGCCAGGAGCAGGCACCCATGGCAAAGCCCCACACACAGCCCACAGAGCAAGCGGGAAACCCCGGCGGCAGGACCGTCTCAGGCAACGATCCCAAGTGTTTTAAATCCCCAAACTTAAGACCGCACAACTCCCGCCTCACCCCAGAGAGCCCCCGTGCTCCCCAGGGAGGGCAGACCTGGGTCGAAAAATCACCATCTCAAGCTTTGCTTTCTGTAATTTGCATTACAGAAACAACAAATATATTATTTTCCACTTTCTAAATACAAGATGGGACTCGAACTTTGAATAGGCTTTTCAAACTACCACAGCACTTTTCCCCGAGATTCTAACACGGGAACCACGGGGAAGGGAGCCTGTCTGTTCCCCTTCTCTTCCAAGCGGGGAGAAGCCCCCACCCCGAAACAGCCATCGCTCACCTTGGCGTGCAGCTTCGTGATGTCAGGTCTCCGCTCCGAGAGGTTGAACAGCTAGAAGGAAAAAGGGAAGAGACCATGAGGAGGTGAGGGGGAGGAGGGCTGGGAGGGGAGAGATGCCATGGCCACGTTGGGGACTGTGGTGTCCCCTCCAACTTCCTCTAAAAAGCCACCACACCGCCAGGCAGAGGCAAGGGCCTGCCCCAGGCCAGCCACAAGCGCCCTGGACCTCCTTGCTCTCCCTTGCTCTCTCCCCGATGGAAATGCCACCCAACGGGGTCCCATCAAGCACGCTAGACCAACAGGAACTCCACTGCAGCTTCTCAGGGAGAAGAGGGGGAGCGAGGTACACAGACACTCGGCCACTCCCCTCCGTGAGTGGACGTCCTGACATCCTGACGAAGGGGATGGAACCCGTCTCAGGTCCCTTGTGCCTTTCAACGCACAGAGGGGAAATCCAGCAGTGTGAAATGATATGTCGTTGGCCACCTCTGTTTTCCACTTCACATGTTGACATTAGAATCTCATCCCACGAAGATACAACTTCTCTGTCACTGGACAGCTCCCATCAGAGGGTGCCAACCATCCTGGGTGGCCAGCTCAGACCCTGGGCACGCCTCTCCCAGCACGTGCCCTTCAATGCCTCGCCACACGCCATGGAATCCTCCCTCTCCGGGATTCCTGTCTCGGCCTCCGACGGGGCATGCAGAACTCCCCACCTCCACCCCACAGCCCGGGAAACTCACAGAGGACCATGTCTCCTGGGAGGAAAGAGGACAGCCCAGTCTGGAATGGGCAGGAGCACAGAGACCCCCAGAATCCCAGACTCCTTAAATCAGGAAGGCTCTCGGTGCCTTCTGGTCCACTCTCACACCCCATAAAAAACGCTTTCAATTATATTAACAATGGCTATGTGTCCTACACCTGGCAGCCCCGTGCTAAAGACCTTACATCTAACAGCTGGTTTAATTCTCTCGACGACCATAAGAGGTAAATAGTGTTACTAGACCCATTTTACAGACTGGGAGCCTAAGGTTTAGTGAGGCTAAAGGGCCAGGATCATGGAGTTAGTAAGAGCAGAGCCAGAATTTGGGCCCAAGACTTCCTGATGTTTAAAGGCAGGTCTTAACAATGCCCCAACACAGCTGACAGATGAGTCCCTATAGTGGTTAAAGAGTATTCCCAAAAATTCGTGTCCACGCAGAGCTTCAGAATGTGACCTTATTTGGAAACAGTAACTTTGCCAACGTAAGTGGTTAAGGATCTCAATGTGAGATCAACCTGGATCCTGGGTGGGCCCTGAACCCAATGACTGATGTCCTCCTAAGAGAGGAGAGGACTGACCCAGGGAAGAAGGCCAGTGAAGGTGCAGCAGGCGGAGACTGGGGTGATGCAGCCACAAGCCAAGGAACTCCGGTGCTCCAGGAGCCACCAAAAGGCAGCACCAGGCAAGGAAGGATTCTGCCCCTCAGGACTCAGAGGGAGCAGGGCCCTGCCAACACCTCGCTGTCAGACTGTAGCATCCAGAACTGGGAGAGAATACATTTCTGTCATTTTGAACCACCAAGCTTGAGGTACAGTTGTCCCTCAGTATCTATGGGGGATTTGGTTCCAGGACCCCCAAAAGATACCAAAATCCATGGATGCTCAAGTCCCTCATATAAAATGACATATCATTTTCGTATTTAACCTATGCACATCGTCCTGTAGACCTTAAATCATCTCTTGGTTACTTATAACACCTAATACAATGTAAATGCTATGTAAATAATCATTGTACCACATTGGGTATTTTATATTATTGTTTATTGGGGTTTTTTTTCCTGAATATGTTCCACCTGTGGTTGAGTGAATCCATGGATGTGAAACCCACAGATACAGAGGCTGACTGTGATTGGTGCAGCAGCCCCTTCCTCCCAACTCAGACACCCTGGGAGCAGCCGCTTGAGGTTGCACAGATCTGGTCTGTGGTTCCAGTCCATGTGTCCCTCCCTGAAAAATGGACCTGAGCCCTCCTCTGGGGCCAAGGGTAGGTCAGCCTTTCTACATTAGAGGAGATCCCCAAGGCTCCTCTCCCACGTGGGTCAGGTGACTCCTCTGGGCCGGGCCCAGCCAGGTGCCAGCAACACAAGGTCCCTTATGATGTATGTTGCCACAACTCTGCCCTCAGATGCCTCAGAGGCACCGACACTGCGCCAGCTTTGGCACTTCCTGACCCTGCGACCTTAGGCAAATAACCCCATGCCTCTGTGCTCTAGCAAGACCTGCTTTTAGAGCTGCAGAGAAGGTTAAGTACACAGAAAGCAGTTAGAACAACGCCTGCCTCATAGCAAGTGCTCTGTAACCTGGAATTCTGTTGTTACTCTCTTCTCTTGGTCAACACACACACACAATCACACACACACACACACACACACACACACACACACACACGCACGGTTCCAGAGGCTGCATTCCAGCATTCCAGCTGCAGACACACTCTCTAGAAGAGAGCTGGGCTGCAGAGTGAAGACTTAGCCCACCAGGGACGTGCAGGGTGAAGGGCAGGTGAGGGTGAGCTGGTGCAGGGGCAGGTGACAGGGACGCCTGCAGTGAAGGGGCAGTGAGCGGGCGAGCAGAGGGAGGCACGTGGGTGCTGCACGAGTGGGCAGGAGGCCCCATCCTCACCAGGTAGTTGCCTCCATGTTTGGACTTGAGCATCTGGGCCACCTCGCGGAGGTTGCTGCGGAAGTTCTCCTCGTTGGCTGTGCTGGGGAAGGAGACGGCGATGATCCTCTCCGTGACGTACACCAGGTCCAGCTCACAGCTGTCCTCCATGGTCCGGCTCACGCTCATGTTTCTAGGGAGAGAGCAGGCAGTGGAGGGGCCAGGTCAGAATCCAGCACCCCAGGGTGGGCCCAGATATCTGCATGGCCTACACACCAGGCAGGAGCCCATGTGCAGCCCAGGGCCAAGGCCGGAGGCTTCCCCTGGCAAGACCAGTGCAGCCGGCCCGGGAGCGCCAGAGAGAACCAGCTGGGCAGGAGCCGGCAAGGACTTCAGACCGTTTTAGAACCAAACCGTGACAACACCAATGCTGAGCTCCTGTCAGTCCTTCATGATTCCAGCGCTCAGAGCCAGGGCCAGACTGGCCAGGAACCCAGGAGCCCAGCCCTGCCTCCCAGCCCCTGCAGCCGCCTGGCCAGGCAGAAGTCTCCCGAAGGACCCTGGCATGATCCGGAAGAGGAAGGCGAGCCAGCCTGGGTGCTCTCCAGCACCCCGGAGCCGAGTCTTCCGCTGCCCTCCCCTGGCTCTCTGTGCAGTGGGCGGGAGGCCCCTCAGGGGAAGGGGGCAGCTCAGGTGACATGCTCACCTGGGTTCCAGGTAAGCCAGACCACAGCGTGCATTCCAGCCCTCCTGAGGCAGGCAGCCTCCTGCCCTTTGTACCCTGGCTGTCTCCCCACCTCTGGCTGCTCACACCGCCTGCCAGAACTGCTTGTTGGCAACGGCCTCCCTGATTTCTAAGGGCCCAGGGAACGCGAGGGCACCGAGTCTTTGCCACTGCGGTGGCAGGCGGCCCCAGCACCATCTCTGTTCCCGGGAGAGGTGGGGAGCCCTGGACTGGGCAGCTCGCCCTCTACCGGGCACTGGGGGAGGGGAGGGAGGGGCTCACATCTTTACATCTCTCCAGACTTTTCTTCCAGGGGAAGGGTCCAGGACACCCAGTGGGGAAGCCCACCTGCCCCTCCTGGGAGCACCTCCACCTGCCCCACCCCCACACCTTCTCACCCCATCACCAACCTCCCAGTGTCTCCTTCCCCCTCTACCAAGGTGGGCAACACTCACGCTTCATTGTGCTAACTATTCCCTATGGCAGGATAAGGTTGACACTGGAGGGGAATAGGAGGGAGGACACTGCCAAGGTATCTAAAAGTGACAGGGGGTGGGGTCCTCAGGCACTGGAGTACAAGCCCCAGGACGCTGCGGAGCCTAGAAGAATCCAGACCTCCGCCAGGGTTAAATCCAAGCCCAGCTGTTTAGATGGGGCAGGGGGCGTAGGGGGATGGGGCGCTGGGGCTTGGGGGCATGGCCGAGCATGACATACAGCCTCCGGTGGGAGGACAGGGGCTGAGCCGGAGAGGGAAGCAGGGCCAGGGGTAGGGAGCCTAGTCTGAGTTTGACTCTGAGTGCTCGTCCCTATGGCAGGCTTCTCGCTGCAGCCATTAGGGTGCGGTTCCTACCTTGGCCGCCGCCTACTCAAGGACAGTTCTGTAGGTGATGCTCAGTCTGGGACAAGAAGCCACACACACATGTGCCCAAGAAAACGGACATGAGGGGGCCTCAGCTAACTTGGAGCAGCCCCTCCTCCCCCTCTCCAAAGCCCCTCTTTGTCCTGGCTCCAAAAAGATCCGGAATGTCAGGAAAACTTGCAAGCCGAGCTCCTGTGGTTGCAGCCTCTCACTCAGCACGGGAGCGGGAGCGGAGCGAGAAGGGACGTGGTTAGGGGCATGAGTCAGAGGTGGCCCATCCTGGACCCTGGCCTGCCCCGTCCTCAGGCTGGTTCCCAGAAGGATGCAAAGGCAGAACTGCGCCCTCAGCTGGACAGCCTCAGCATCGCGCTCTGCGCCCGCCCGCACCCAGGCTGTTCTCAGCTGTGGGGAAGGAGGAGGTCCTTTGAGAGCCACCTCCAGCCTGTGGGCAGCTGGTAGCTGGGCCACAACCGCCAGGGACCTCAGCTGCACCCCAGGGCTGGCATTCCTGTTGGTCTCAGGAGCCTCAATGGGTGAAGGGGAGGCAGAGAGGGAGGGAGCCAGACAGAACCTGGATGGCAAGGCATGAAGTCCCCTGTGCGCCCTCGCCCCGCCCACCAGCCAGCTAGCTAGAGAACTTTCCTCTGACAAACGACTCTGCGCCATCAGAAACCCCCGTCTGCAGAGACGAATGAGACCTGGCACAGGCCCAGGTGCCCACCAGTTCTGAACGCAAATCCAAAGCAATGCCTCTCGGTGGTTGTATGACCTTTAACAGGTCACTTCATTTCTCTGAAACTCAGTTTCTTCATCTGCCAAATGGGAATAAGACACTTACCTTGTGGGGCTGTTGCAAGGACTAGATGAGCTCACGCAGAGAAATAAAGAGTCCAGTGCGAGGCCTGACTTGGAGCTCAAAGTGTGACCGCTGTCAAGTGCATCCCTACATCCTCTCCTGGGCCTTCATGTTTGCCCACATTCCCTGCCCATGGCTTTATGGGGGACCCAGAGGCAAGATTTGACAGGAACACCCAGAGCGACCCCACCGCCTGCACCCCCGCTCCTGCCCCGTGGGCCAGGCCTACCTGATGGGCAGGGGACGGGGCTGGATGCTCGGGATGACCCTGGTGGAGCCCTGGGAGAGAGAGAGGAGAAGCAGCGTTACGCACAGGCAGGCGGGACAGCGGGGGGATGGCGGCAGGGAGCTGTCCGCGGGAGCAGTCAGGGCCACGGCCAAACATGACTCTCTTCTTTCTCTGCAACCACCCGAAGCCAAAGCCATCCACACCGATTCCACGTGAGTGTGCCTGCCTGCCCCAGACGGACGAAGGAAGAAATCCCGAACGCTGAGGAGTGCCCCCACCTGGCTGGTGCCCTCTGCACTGAGAACACACGCAACAGTTACCGAATCACTGGAAACGCATTTCACCCTGGTTCGCTGGCCATCGCGACGGTGACCCCAAGTGGAGGGTACAGACTGCAGCCGTGAAAGAGATGGCAGATGAGAGTGACGGTGACCCTCTGTCCAGCCCTGAAGCTGTCTTCCCCGACCACTATCACCCCACATTCCCCTTTGAAAGCAGCGATATGGAGTCTTCAATCAGGTTTTGAGATGGGAACGGCCAGATGTGTCATGCAGGAAGCAAAACGAGGTCTAAGGCAGTGAGCCACGCGCCTGGGACCCGCTGCCACTGTCTGTTAGCCCATCTCACCCACTCCACGTCCACAGCTGTCGACCTTACAAACAGGCAAATGGACCCAAGTTGGTGCCCAGAACATCCCGGGGCGGCAGGATGATCCGACGGTGAAAGCACAGGATCAGAACCCCACAGACCCCAGAGTCCAGATTCCAGCATCCCGCTGGGCAACACTGCCAGTTACTTAAGCCCTCTGAGCCTCCTGTACTGTCACACGTAAAATGGGACAACCCTCGGAGGCTTGCAGTGAGGATGCAAAGGAATTATGCATATAAGGCACTTTGCGTGTACCTGGCATTCAATAAATGACAGCTATTGTTTCTTGTTGCTATGGTTTCAAGTACAATTAAAAGGGTAGTTATTTAGAGGGTAGTTACAACCAATCACCTCTATGGATCAAAACCCTGCATCAGCTCTACCACCAGCAGCCGCCCCACCCTTCTGGTCACCACACACGAGGCAGAATCGGAACGCCCAGTTTCTAGATTCCCAGACCCAGCCTGAGCCCTCTGGACCCATCCACACCTTCCAAACACCCATGTGCCTCTCAGAACCCAGCCTTTCCCAGCCACCAAGTTGCAGCTGCTTCTCGGAGGAGACAGGACCACAATCTGCAAGGGAGGGGAGAAACTGAGGCACGGAGTAACTCACCACTGGTCCCTGGGAAGTTGATGGCCAGGCAGGGTTCACTCCCCCACCTGGGGCTTGACCCCTGGAGCCCCAAGAAGAGGATCCCCCTTAAGCCTTTCCTGGGCTTGCAGCGCCTATGAGGCAGGGGGGGTGGGCTCTGAGGCCCGGCTCCCAGCCGAGCCCCAAGTTAGGGCAGCTCCCCCAACGGGACTCTCCATCTGGCCGCCAGGGAGAAGGCTCCGCCGGTCCTCTCTGTCTCCGCTGCACCCGCGCTCTGAACAGCGCAGCAGAGGCGTCAGTGGAAGGAGGAAAGAGCCAAGTGGGGCTGTCGGGGCGGGAAGTTTCTCGGTCTCCACGGCACTTCTGGCATCGAGGACTTGGGTTTGCATGAGTCAGGGGGCCGGGGTGGGGGGAGGCCAAGGGGTGGTTGTGTTTGTTTTCAAGCCCAAAACCAGGCTGTTCCAAAACTACTGACCTAGAGGAACGCAGAAACCCAGCACTTCATCCATCTCCATCGTGCCAGTCCCTGATGAGGAGTCCCTGACTCTCCCCAGGCCCTAGGCCCTGCTCCAGACCCAGGGCCACCCTGCTATAAATAGCCCCTCGGGTTGCATCTGTTGCTGATCCACAGCCACTTTTGGAGGAAGCCACCACAGCTGCTTAGAACAACTGGAAGCCGTAAGCATAGCCAAGGAGCGAGGGGTGGCCAGGAGCACGGGACCAGGCCCCGGGAGCTGGAGGGAGACAATGGGACACATTGAGACGGGCTTGGCAAGGGAACTGGGGGGCTGAGGGGAGCTGGGAGCCTGCGAGGGTGCAGGGGTAAGAAGGGCAAGCAGGACAGGAGACCTGGCTCCTGTTTCTCCACCGCCCTGTTCCAAACGTTACAACACTCCACATTCCTCAGCCTCCCCACCCCAAAAAAGCCGGGGAAGATAAATAAAACCTTGGCCCAAACAGAGTCTGGCCAAGCTGCCTCCAGAGGTGATAAGGCAAAGTCCAAGCCCACTCTGCTCCACCGAGTGGGCCCAGGAAGGGGAGGCAGGGGGAGGAAGCTGCCCTGGACAGTGACCCCCTTGCAGAGGCCGGGGGACGAACAGCTGGACTGTCATCCCCTGATGAATCACTGGGCTGCCCTCGAACCGACGGGGCTTCCTGTTTTCTGCAGAGTCTGGGGGCATGTGACCCTTGCTGGCAGAGACCAGACATGCACGGTGACACATCTGAGGGTTGGTGCACACAGGCCCATGGGGAGAACTCAGAGAACAACCAATGGGCTGGGGCAGGGGCGGCATGTGAGCAAACAAACTCGCACGCTCCAAAAAACACAGGTGACCTCACACCGAGGCTAGAGACGGGCGCCTTTTGAAGCATGCCTAATCACGTAGGCTTTTTACAAGAGGGGTGGGAGTGAGTCAAGGCATCTGGTCATTCCTGGACCTCCAATCTTCGTGCTCCTTCCCTCATTTGGCAAACATCCACCAAGTGCCGCCGGCTGTGTGCCTGGTCACATTTTAGGCACAAGGGGACCAAGGAGGTGAAGTCCCTGACCTCACAGGGCTTATACTCTATGGGCAATGATACTCATCAACAGACCGTGTGAGGAGTAGAGGATTAGTCTCATTTACCCATCTGTAAAATGGGTACAGCACAGTGCTCACATGATTTCTTACCTATTCCGCTTAGAGCCCCTAGCGAAAAACTACCATCAGACTTTACAAACTTTATTTTAAAAAGAAAAATAAGCTCTCTTCCTTAATCCTATTCTTTTCCTCTCTGGGGAACTCAAGAGGAAACATGACTTTGAACTTCCTCCTAGCTCCTCCCAAGAAAGATCAGTAATAGAACTTTTAATTCAACACTCTAAACATCAAACAGAACCCTCCCCTATCCTCACCTCCAAAACACGGTCTCTCCTTTGCTGAAAGAACACCAGGAAATGAGATTCTACAGCCTCCCAAAAAACAGTGTCTCACTTTCTCACTGTCAGGAAGTTCCTCCTGGTATCTAGCCCTTATCCTTCCTGCTACAGATTCAGCCAACTCTTTTTGCCTTGGTCCTCACTACAGGCAGGAACTGATCATCACTCAGACATCCCTGGGTGGCTCAGGGTCTATGACCCTGGGTCCCGTTACTTGCCACCTTCCTCACCGCCACGCAGCAAGGAGCAGCCACCCCCCTGCCTTGGGTGGGGATGGTTTGGAGCAGTGGCTCTGTGGGAAGAGTCCTGCCTTCCTTTAAGGTCCACAGACCAAACACAACAGCTCTGGACCAAAAGAAAAGCTGTTTCCTGAAGCCAAGTCCCCAGGGGGGCACAGTTGGGAGGAGGGTCTGTAAGAGAACACCAGGGGCCGTGTCAGGCAGCCGGAGATCGGAGATCGGAGATCGGTGACCGACCTACGTCAGGGGCCCAGCCCCATTCCTGCATCTCCTCTGGGGGCTGTGGCCAACCTCCCCCCCATCCCAACCCCTCCAGCCACACCCCTTCCTCTCTCCTTCCTGCCCACCAGCCTGGATTTTTCCAAAACAAAGTGCGACACAGCACACCATGCACAAACTCCACTACACACCAACTCTGTCAAAGGAAAACAGCCATTCCTGCCCTGTGAGTCCTGGGCTGCGGGCCAGAGACAGGAAAACAGCTCAACAAACAGGCACATTATCGCAGCGGCAGGCCCAGGGCTGCAGCCCTGCCGCTTTGAAAACAGGTTCTCCTCACGCGGCTTGACTGCAGAATTGCCCAGTGGCTGGGCAGGGGACCGACTCAATGACCCTGGGTCACCCAACCTGAGACAGGTGACGGGAGCCTTCCTTTGCCATATGTGGGCCACTGTGGAATCTGCTCCCTTGCTCACCTTTCCAAAACTCATCTTGTCCCTCCTTCCATATCCAAACGAGACACCCCCCTCCACCACGCAGACACATTCAGCCCAGATCACCAAAACGTTCTCCTAAAAAATACCAAATATCCTCCAGTCACAACCGAACACCTACCTCTTTCTTCCCTATGACCAAGCTCATACACACCCTTGCAGGCAAAAGTTCTTCATGGTGTCTAACTTCACTCTCTCTTGCTGCGGCTCTAGTTTATGGGATCCTTCCGGTCCAAGCTGGGGACATGGCGGGCAGCAGCTCTAAAACTTGACTCCTAAGTGTGCCCAGACCATTGGCTAAAATGGCTTGGTTCACACACCATCACTGTCCCCTGGCCAACGGTTAGGAGTCCTGGATAACACCAGATCCGAGCAGCGGTCCCAGGGGATGGCATGGTATTCATGGAGTCATCCAGCAACTCTAAGCTTCGTTTTCTCTCTATGAAATGGGGTCATAGCATCTGCCATACAGGGGTGCCATGAGGATCTAAAAACACCCAGCCTAGTCCCCAGCCCTTAGTCAAAATAGCAGGAATAAGAATGGCTAACATTTATTGAGCACATATTACGTGCTTTGAGTTCCCTAAGCTAGTTCACCCTCAGTAGTAGGCACACAAAAAAATTAGTTTTCCCTGCACCCCAGCCCCAGAAACATCACAACCCTGGACAAGGACCCCTCCCCGACATGAGTACTCTGTGCCCGCAGGAACCCTCGCATACCTTAAACAGAGCCTTCCCCGCTAATTTGAGAGGTATGCTCCCTGCTCCTCCTGGGGCCCCACGCGGCCCTCAGGACGCCTCCACTCCGCAGGGCGGGCTGTGTCGGGCTGCCCGGGGCACTGTGGAAGTGGCCCTGGGCTCACCACAGGAGCGAGGCTGCCTGCAGGAGCTGCCCCTCCCGCTCCCCCTACGCCTCCCTCCAGGGCCCTCCCCGCCGTGGGTCAGGCAGCTGTCAGATGATAGGGCCTCGTGCCCTCAACGGCTCCCCCCACCCCTGTGCCAACCGCCAAAACCACTCCCTGTTCCTCTGCAGACCAGGGCGGGTGAGGATGGAGGGGCCAGCGCAGGGCACCCTGTCACAGAGAGCAGGGAAGAAGGGGAAGCCGCTTTGTCGGGGGTCTGCCCCTGGGGTTTGCAGAAGAGCCCACTCGCAAACACGCTCGACGCTGGTCCTGGCAGAGCCCCATGTACCCTTCTGTGGGGTCCTTCTATCTAAGGAATTTGCCCATTTGCTGCCCCCAGATGCAGGCAGGAGGAGGCCAGGGGGACTGACGAGCCCATCTCCCAGCTTCCTCCTGAACCAGTGGCATGGAAGCCACACAGAGGCACTGGCCATTTCCAAAGACTCCTGTCTCCAGAGAAGCAGACCCTACAACTTCCCCAGGGTCTAACGATCCCGTAAGAGCCCAGGAGTCCTTCTCCAGCTCACCCTTAGTCCCTCTCACTGTGGTTTTGCCCACTTCCTTACCCTTCCCGCAGCTGCTCCTAGCTGCCCTCTCTCCTCCCTCCCCACCCTGGAGCATGGAGGTCCGGCAAAGTCATGGACGAATGAGCTCTGGATCCAGCTTAGATGGAAGCCAAAGCCAAGACTAAGGCCCAGCCCTTACGTGAACGGGCCTGCTTGCAATCTCAGCCCCGCGTGCTGAGCGACCCCTGCCCAGCCCGCTAGAGAGGGGCAAGGGAGGCCCACAGAACAGGACAGGTCTGAGACATTACCCACCTCGCACCCACTCGCCCTGGCCACCAGGGGCCCTGCCACATCCTTCTCCCATCGCCTTCCATACTTACGTCGTCCTCCAGACTTTTCCGTGTGTTTCCACCCCGGGAGGCTCCTTCTCCCTGCAGACAGAGAAGAGGCAGTCAGAGAAGGGAGTCCAGGAAAATAATCACAGGACACCCGGGCCTCCCACCACCTGCTGGGTTTATCGGGGGTGGGGGGTGGGGTGATGTGAGGAGTTGGCAGAAAGGCCTGGGAGGGAAATGTGGTTTTTGTTTAACATTTCTTTGTCCACTAAGAGCCCCTTAGAGGTAACCAAACCCTGTCATTTGCATGTCATGACCATTCCTGTGGGAGATACTATTATTCCCATTTTGCAGATAAGAAAACTGAGGTGCAGACAGGCTCATGTCTTGCCTGCAGTCACACAGTTAGAACCTTGGAAGAGTCAGGATTTTAACCGAAGTCCTCCAACTCCAAGCCCACGATTTCATGCTGGCTATTGCCAGGAGACGTCTCTCAGCAGCTAACCTCAGTTTCCCCACTACAGGACACACCCCCTTTCCTCCTCTCCTCTTCCATGTGGCCCTGAGGAAACTGTCTGTCTCTCTGCCAGGTCAGAAAGATGTTTGGAAAGAGCTGCCCAGCTTTCCCACATTCTGCATATTTAATAAAGACGCCCACATTGAATCACCGGCCTCCCGCTCTCTGCCTGCCTAGCTCCCCAGTAGCCCAACCCCGAACACACAGGGACAGTCAGACGCCTGGTGTCACTAGCATCCCCACCACTTCCCCCCAAGGTCCCCAAATCTACCAGAAGGAAGCCCCCAACCACAGAGGCTCACTCTCCTCCAAACCCACCCTCCACTTTCCACCCTCCTCCCTTGCCCAGGCTGTTCCCAGCCCCGCCCACCTGCCACCACTCACCGTGTCCACTACATTCTTCGGTGCACTCTCCGTGGTGATGGGCTGTGGACAAAGGGAGAAACAGCATGAGCCTCCGGGCAGACGGCCCTGGGACTGGCTCTCTCCCCAGGGCTGGTGGCCGTGATGGGCAGAATGCCCCCGAGACTCAGACATAACCCAGCTGGCTCCTCAAGGGGGACAGAGTTTGGAAAATGAAAAACAATCTGAATAGCACTAGAACCATCCAGTCCTACAAGCCTCCACCAAGGACCCATGTCAGCGCCGGTGCTGTGCCTCTAGGTTCACTCAGCCTCGGACCCCTCGAAAGGCAACAAGGAGCAACTTACACTGTCTCGTTTACTCACGACAAGAATCCAGGGAGGTCGGTACCATTCTTACCTTTTAGCCACTTTACTGATAAGGAGAAGTTAAAGGAGTGACCCCAAACCATCAACTCTAACAGCGACAGCAGAATTTGAGCTCCACCTGGGGAGTGAGCAGCCTGCCAGAGTCCTAGCACCTGGCGGGCTTGCAAGTCTGCCCACCCTTAGGACACCCCGTGTCGGTGCACAAAGGCCCTGCCCCCTGAGACCTGGCCCCAGGCCCTCCTGGCTTATTCCCACGACTGGGTCCTGGCTTGCGGAATGGCTTCCCCTCTTCTCCTGCATGGAGGGCTCTCATCCTCCATGAAGCCCTCCCCGACCACCCCAGCAAGTGGTGAATCTCTCTTCCCTCTGAACTCCAAACAGCCTCGCTGTCTTTGCCACTTATCTGGTCCTTGGTGTATGTATAATCTCATTGTGGGAATGTATGTCTTATTTCCCCAACTACTGTTTTACTTATGATTTTTATCCCACCTTCATCCAAAATAGATTCAAAGCAACATTTTTATCAAACTCATCGGAAAACTCCCCCCTCCAGGGACCGTGGTTTATGCGCAGCGGGCACCAATAAACCGCTGTTGACGGATCCTGTGCCTCACCCTGAGGCCGTCCCTCCTCTGCCCAGACCCACAGAAGCGCTTCCCACCGAAGGCATTCCACAAGGTGGGCTCCTCGGGCCCCCTAACAGGAAGAGAAACTGCCTGGTCCAGGTCCACCCCTGGAGCAGTCTCCAGGGCTCCATTTCCAACTCAGTGAAGTGGCCATGGGGCCCTCGAATGGCACAGAAGGATGTGAGCACGATGAAAGGTTACGAAACAAACCTTTGCACAGGTGAGTGCAAACAGGGCTGAGGATCTTGTCTCAGAACAGGCGGTGTCTGCCCCCAGCCCCAGCCCCAGCCCCAGCCCCAGGGCCTGAGGGATGAGCTGCTTGTGTCTGAAGACAGGGCAATGGACACCATGACCTCTGGAAGGTTCAGGTACCAGGGAGCAGAAGTGGGCCAAGATGGGCAAGGAGGAAGAGCGCAGGCTGAGCCGAAGGTAGCAGTGCTCTCTCTGGAAATAGCCCCACTCATCTACCCGACTGCCTGGAAGACAGGAGGCTGAGGCCAGACTTCCCTCCAGGGCATGGAACTTCCTGAGCAGTTCATGGCCAAGGCAGCTTGGGATGGTAGATTGGGGATGGGGTCCAGGTCCAGAGCAGGGGATAGGGGAGGCACATGCGCACACCCCTCCCACTCTCCCCCTCCCCGTATACCCTCCCCTCTCCACCTGGAGCCCAAGGATGGCTCTGGAAGAGGAGTAAAGATCCACATTCTGCCCCCTCCCAGGTCAGCCCCAATCCTGACCCCTAACCCACTCACCTCCCAGAGTGCCACCTCCCGAGCCCCAGGCCACTGGGCAGAGGGCAAATGAGCCCACCAGGAAATCCCCAGGGGTCCCTTCCCCAGGCTGAGGATTGAGCCCTGTGCTCTCAGAGCCTCCCTCAGCCTCCAACAACCACCCAGCTCCCCCATCCCTCTGCTTGGGGCTGGTGGGGGGGGGTCCTGTCCTGGCAGGGGGTCCTCTACAGCAGTGTCAGCCCACTCCACCCCTCTCCACCCCTGACCTGTCTCTTCATGTCCAGGGCTCTGTCAGGCTCACGTGGAAACCCTGGGTTGGGCAGGATGGCCCCATTGCCTGCTTTCTGAGCAGCTCTGGTCCCCTGGGGGGAGGAAGGGAGCGAGACAGCAGATCACAGGGGCCTTTCTGCGCAGCACCTACCTAGAAGAACGGAGGCGCGAACCCAGATCTCCCAACTCCAAAGCCCTCGCAATCGACCCGTCGGCCACCCAGCCTCCCACAAATGGACGAAAATGGAGTGGGATGGACATGTTGGAGACTAAGTGCCTGCTCCAGGCTTGCTCCAGCCCCCAAAGAGCCCCTCCGCCTCCTCCAGGTAAAGCCTCCAAACAGGCCTCCACTCTCAGCAAAGAGTGAGCCAGGTGGTCTCAAGCTTGCGCGTGCATCGGAACCACCCAGAGGACTATTGCCACACCGGTGCCTGGCCCTGCCCCAGAGGTTCTGAGTCAGTTAAACCTATGGTGGGACCCACGAATGTGCATTTCTTACAGGTTTCCAGGTAATGCAGGTCCCAGGTGACTCTGAGAGCCACCTGGCAGATCTAACAGGCCTTGACAGCGGACGGCCAGGTCCACACGCTGACTCTCGGCTGCTACCTTACTGTGCAACCTTGAGCAGGTCACTCTGCCCTTGCTGCTCCTCAACAGGACTGCACAGGGTTATTTGGAGGGGATCAAATGAAATAAGGCACATAAAGCACTCGGGACAGTGGCTGGTACACAGGAAGCTCTCAGTGCATGTGAGCGATCATTATTATTTACTGGCCCCACCCTTAGGGAGGCACCGGCATGTCCCCAAGGCCCAGGCCCTCTCTGGCCCACCCTGCCCCACCCCTCCTGAGTCTGGCAGGGTGCAGACAAGGGAGCTGGAGTCAATATTAGAAACCACAGGCCTCGGCAGTGCAAGAGAAACTTTCTCTTCCTGCCAGCGATCATCTGAGCACCATCCCCTTTGCCCCTGCCCTCCCCAGCACCAGCTGGAGGCCGGCCACAGGGCGACGCTTGCCAGCAATCAGATGCCTTCAACTTACTGGTTGAGATGCTTTCCGAGGAGCTAAAAATTTCCAAAAAACCCCTCCTGACCTAAACACCCGAGTTAGCCTGCAGAGTTTGCAAACACAGCCCAGCACGCATGCTGCCCTCCCCACCTCCACCCTCCACCCCATTCTCCTGGGATTGAAGTCCTATTTCTCTGCCTCCCAACCACTGCCAGGCTACTTGGAAGGAAAAAGGCAAGGGACTGGTAACATGACAGCAGGGTCCCCTGAGGTGGTCCCTGCCCCAGGCCCTGCCTGAAGGCTGGAGCCATAGAGAAGCCCCTGGGCCACCTGGAGCTGTGGCCACCCGAGGAAGCAGCCCCAGAGCTCCAATGGCTGGCAGAGACCCCCTCAACCCTGACTGTCACCCTACTTTCAGCCACAACCCCCCCCGCCCGCCACACATACACACACACGTTTATGCTTTCCCTGGTTTATTTTTCTCCTTAGAATTCACCATGCTCCAACACACTATATACTGACTCGCTTATCTCACTGAGTCTGTCTCTCCCACTAAAATGTAAGTTCCTTCTGCCCGCCCAGGGCCCAGAACAGTGCCTGGCAAGCTATAGGCCCTCCGTTGATGCCTGTTGAGTGAGTAACCAAGGGAGCTCTCGCACTGTCTCCCCGACAGCCCACCACGCTCGGCATGACGCAGCCAGCACCCCTGGGACCCCTGGAACCAAAGCCCCCAACCGCCATCTTTGCTTAGTGTTTGGTCAGGACCTTGCTACCCCCACCCCCTGCCCCCCGCCCAACACACACACACACATTCACACAAGCATAACATCCCTGCACGCCATTCCGTAGAACATCAGCTCTGAGGGACTTGTTTCACAGGTGGGGAAACTGAGGCACAGAGAGGTCTGACGCACGTGCCCAGCCCCTCGTGGCAAGGTGCATGGCAGGGCAGGGGCTGCCTCCCAGGTGTGTAGAGCCCACTGCCAAGCTGACCCCACCACCCTGGCCCTTGGTCCCCAGTCCACCCACAGGCCGGGTTAGCTGGCACCTCCTGTGGGCTCTTCTCGGCCTTCCCCGCAGTCGGCAGCAGCAGGATGGAGCAGGTGGAGCCCAGACAGGGATAGCACCTCCGCGCGGCCCCACCCGCTGCCCAGCCCCAGGACAAGGCCTGGAGCATAGATCCCCAGGCTTTCCAAAGTGAGGGCAGCCACTCTGTAATCCTTCCAGAATCCCCCTTCCTCCAGGCAGGACAACTCAGACTCCAGCTCAGGAGCAGGTGGCAGAGTTTTGACCTAGCCCTACTTAAAAGCCAAGCCCTGCTCTTCACGGACCACTCTGTCCTGGGGTCCCAAACTCGGGTGTCTGGAGCAAGGCAGGGACCAGGGTGAGGCACTGTGGGCACAAAATGGAAGCAGGCATCACTCTCAGGCCCTGCGAGTGCACCTGACAATCCCGAGCGACGCCCCTCAGATGTTGCACCGGGGTGCCTCACTCTCCCCACCCTAGTGCCGGCACTGGCCTGGCGACGCCTCCTCGTAAAGTTAGTGCAAGGACAACTATTCGTTAGGTGCTAGCCGCGCCCTGGACGTCGTATCAGGCTCTTTGCTTTCCCCGTCATCAATCCTCATAACCACGATAGGAGGGAAACATTACCCCATTTTACAGTTGAAGAAACTGAGGGCCCAAGAGACTAAATGACTTGACCAAGGCTACATAGCCAGTCAGTGGGAGAGCCAGTATCGGAACCTTGCTCCTCTCAGCCCCCGTGCTATGGCTCCTCTCCCTGGCAATGACCTTTAGTCAGCTCCTCTCACTCCTAACCAACTGCCCTCCTGGTGGGAGCAAGCTTTCTGACAGGGAACGGCTATCTGTAGCGGTCCCTGTGCCCCAGGCCTCAGGAGAGTCTTCCTCACTGTGCTCCCACAGGAAGAGCGGGAACTGGGCTGCAGCAGGAAAGATCAAGATCAGACCACAGAGAGAACTTCCTGAATTTGAGGGGTTGTGGACCACAGCATGGACAGGGAAGCTGCACATCCTTTCTTCAATTTTTTTTTTCCAAAA